GAACAGGACAACATTTGTCTTACAGTTTTGGATAAACCGTCTTTTTGTCCATATCTTGTGGTTTAAACTCTGCAAGTAAAACCAAAATGATGGTTTTTGCATAACCATTTTGTGGATCTGGAGCTTCTTTTTTACCATAAATAGAATCCTTATGTTTTTTCTACAACCTCACCATTTGGGTTATATCCAGTCATGAAAGTTCTCTACCCCTGGATCAAGAGAAATGATATTTATTTGGTTATCAGCTTTAATTTCAAGTGGCTTAGTAATATAATTCACCAATGTGATTCATGGCGAGACAACAGTCATATTTAATTCAGGTATTTTTTTTTTCACTTGATTTAATACTTTGAAGAATGGATAACGACCAATGTTTTGATCTAACGACAATTGTATTTTCTAAATTTTAACATCTTTCTTTTTGTAATAATATTTGATATCAAAGACCTTTTGAGATTATGATTCAGATTTATTGATATAATTATCACTCAAGTAACTGCTCCTAAACATTTGTTTATGTCCAGCGAGCAAGCATCAATACATTTTAATATGGCTGGATTAAGTCAAAGTACGATTCTAAGAGCTTTCCCGAGCGGAGGTTTTTTAGAAGATGTCAAAGAAGCTACATCATCTTTTAAACTTTTCCATATGCCACCTGGTAAAAGGGAAATGGTTTGAATCACGAGGTGTTGGTTTAGTTGAATCAACCGTAATCCATGATCCTCGAAGAACTAGTCTTTTTAAATAATCACCATTAACTTGGATACAGTGATTTACCAATGGTTTTTAAGGGTAAGCTGGCTGTGATGCCATTGTATGTAATTTTTTAAATTAACGATAAATTAATTTTATAAACATGATTGATTTTTTTTTTTGATTTCTTTAAATATTTTTATAATGCGTCAATATTTTAAAAATGATTTTGAAAAACACATTTAAAAACACTTTCCAAAAATTAGCTTAATGAATTATCACAGAAAAACACATAAACCAATCAGCACTTATCAACCATATTACTACCCTTTATATATTCTGGCGTGATATTTATCTACCTGTGACATATCTGGTATGTTTTGTTTTATGTGATATTTAGAAATTTAAAAATTAATTTATACATTATTATATTAAAATGTCAAATTTTATTATTAGAAAATATAAAAGAAAAAAAACTTTATAACTTGAGATTCATTCTTTTGTCCATTTCATTCAATCATTTATAGATTAATTTATTTATCATCATCAACCAATTAAAAAAAATTTATTTTGTAACAATGTATCTTTATTTTTTGTACAATATAATATACTCTCTAATTAAAAAATTTTAGAAACAATAAAATAACAAAAAACAATAATAACAAAAACCTCTTAAATTCCCGCTAAATATTGTTATTTTTAGTTAGATTTAAAAGAGGTTTTCTGTGTTTTAAACTTTAAAAAAAATTTTGTGTTGTGGGGTAACTTTTTTCCTATTGAATAAAAAGTAATATTTCTATAAATTATTCCAAGGGTAATTACCATCATCATATTATTGTTATTATTACAAAGACAAAGAAATAAACAAAGAGAACAATGACATCAAAGAAAGAAAGAGAAGAAATAAAATGGGATTCTGTGGTCATAATTTAAACTTTATTTCTTCAAAATTTTATTATTGATTTTTATTTTATCATTAAAAATGACCGCCAAAATGATAAAATGAATGTCATAATGGTCATTAACATTAATTGTCATTATTGAATGTCATGTGATTAATTATATTACGTAATAATAATTATGATTGATCAGATAATCACATCAATTGAATTCTAAAATTAGTATATTAATTCTAGCAAATACTGATTAATTAATTAATTAATTAATTGTTATAACAGTCTGAATGAATGAATGAATGAATGAATATGAACGAACGAATGAATGAATGAGATAAGCAAAAGATAGATGATAATAGCAATGGTAATGATAATATTATTATAGTTGTAATAATACGCATAGATAAATAACAATTAAAACCACACATTCATTCATCATCGTAATATTAAAAAACGTGTGCCTTTCTTTATCCAAAAATATAAATAAAACAAATAAAGAACAATAAAAGCATTAACTGACACGCAATTTTTCTTGCAACATATGAAAATATTTTTAAAAGGAATATTATTCCGATAAAATAAATCCGATAATGCACAGGAAATGCACAACATTGCACAAATTTCTCTCTTTTTCACAAAAAATAATAAATAAATATATTTATTAACATGAATTTCCATATAATCACTGTCAAAACCAATCAATCAATCGATTTCCTCTTCTTTGCAAAATTTCTTTTCTAATTAATTTGCATATGTAATTTGTTGATTCTTACTATGCATATATTTACCATTGATTTTTTTTTTTGTTTTAAACATTGTTTTCATTTACGGTCATCTGAACCACTATGATTACCACACAAAACATTTATGGTAAATCTAAACATTTATTTATCAAATGTCTTCTTCTTGTATGAACAACTTATTAAAGTTACGTGGTAAAGCAAAATAATGCAGCATTATTGTTGTTATTGTTTATTATTATTATTACCTGCTACATGCTAATAACAAAATAATCTAATTTATATTAAATTTTTTTATTTTTATTATAGAAACAGCAAAGTCGAAACTTTTGTTTAGAATGTTCCAATAAAAGCCTTTATGTTATTACCTGTTAATTGATTGTTATTATTACTATACATGAAACACCAACTTTGCATGAAATTGGATCCTTCTTGAACTTTATTTATTTCATTAATGGAAAAAAAATAATATTTTGAAATTACAATTGTCTATTTGAATATCAAGATTTCTTGAAACAATTCTTGCATGAAAATTTACTAAATTAACGAAGTTGCTGCTGCGGCGATGTTATAATAACAACGACAAATTATATGTACCCATTTCTTTTGAGAGAATCAAACGTTAATCACGCACGAATGAAATGGAAATGAAAAAAATAATTTAGTAACAAACAAAACTCAATTTTTTTAACATCGACAAAAATTCTATACAAATCTTTGTCATACGAATAAATAGTTAAAACATTGAATAATAAAATAACCTTTAAAAAGAATTATTTATTTATATTTATTTTTTTTTTCAATCATTGACGAATTATATAATAGATTATTAATATTAATAATATTAATAATATATATATATAATAAATGAAATATTTATTAA